TGCAACAAAATGCCTATATAATCATCGTAGCGTGTGTGACTTTAGTGCGCTACTAAATTAAGCCGTCACTGAGTTGCGCTGCACGAAGAACGTGACTGTGTAAAGGGTAGAGACCCTTCCTTGAGAGATAAGGTTAATACTTGGTATTCCATTTTACACCATATTCCAACGATTCTTTACTCAGTTAACATTTATGAAATGGGTTTATTATTATCACACCAGAACCAGTTACTTAAAAGGAACAAAAACACTGTGTTTCGAACATCAATATTGATCGGGTGTCCTACTAAGTTGACCAGGGTTAGCGTAACTCTTAAAACACAACTGGATTAATCTTTTCGTTGATCATCTTATCAACTTCCAATACGAAAAACCTGTGCCCACTTGGGCTAAATCAAACCTTTCGCACTACTCCAAGCCCATTGGTTTGGGCATATTCGAGCTGAGGGTGGAAGTTTCATGAGTCAAATTTATGATGATGCCAATAGCACGGAAAGTCTGTATGTCACGGATTTTCTGTAGCTGATTTCAATTTAAGTCGCCATTCATTTCAACCATTGCATACAATTCAGATGTGTTATAAGCAAAGCAGAAAGCTCTGCTGCAGAATGCTCATTGATCAGCCACGATTGAAATCATTCCTGTGCGGACGCCACGGAAGTGAACCCGTTCAGTCTTTCATTGTGAAATCAATCAATAACTAAAGAACCTGAAACGGTTTGGCTGTTGACAGACGAATTTTTCCTATAGCCTTCTTATTATCACTAGTTTGTTGGTGTGTTTGACTCTTGTTGTTACCTTCCGCTGATCTCTCCCTCAAAACACACACAAATACACTGAACACTCGTGGATCAATTCCGTTTCAGAACTCTCAGTTGACTCTTTAGAACCTAGTCACACATCACTTTTANCTTTCTCTCTGTCTGTGCGCGGCTGGAGAAAAGTCGTGCATACGGTGTATAGTTGTTGCGCTTTCAAATCGTTCTTCCGGTGTCTGTTTGTATTACTTTTTTGTTTTACAAACGGGAAAGTTATTGTCTATTCATTCGTATGAGTTTCCGCAAAATCAGGTTTAGTGGACACACATGTTCACTATGAGATGACTTCGTTTGACCAGTGACACGTGTATTCCATTACTTGATTCTGGAATGGGAACATGGGAACATGTTGATTGTAAACGATCGGTTTCCTTCAAAAAAGTATATGATTTCTGACATTATCAGATTGGTGTGAACGCTGCTTTTCGGAGCAGTTTTACTGGATATTTCTATTGAACTATATCTATTTCTATCATAGTAGGGTGCTGCACAAAGAACGCAACGGAACCTGGTTGATTTCATGAGGAGTAGATAACGCGTGGCTGTCTGAGCACCCTTTCAACTATTTAGGAGTGTCTGAGAAACCCTATATTCTATATTCTTCCCTAAGGTGTCAGGAAACCGACAGGAATTCTGGGTTGAAATCAGCCATCAGTTGTGTTTGGATAAGTGGACCGCTGGATTTTCTTGATGATTTTGGTGCCTAGAACCAACTCAACGCTTATCTCTAATGTGTGACAATCATAATGTGTCGCGTTTACTTAGTCGTTTTGATCTTTCATCTAACCCGAAAATTGATCATACCATGGTATTTAAAATTTCAACAAACATTACATTTCACTTATCGAATTATGAAAAAATTTCGAATTTTTCGTTTAATGTTTCCCATCTAAATATTTTAACCCAGATATTGTTCTTCTGAGTTTTCTTCGCCTTCAAGACTGAAATACGGTTACGGAATTGTGCGTGTATTTCCTTGTGGTCTTTAGAGCGCTATTGATCTGATGAAATCAGAGTGAAGCGCGGCAGATTTTCATCGCATGTAGTGTTGATCTGCTATCGGATGCACCATGATGAGGAAAATGGGCAACCGACCACTAGACCATGTGATTCGTTCACGCTGTATTGATCGTGTACGTGCATGCGTGCACGGGTGTGGTGTGTTGTGCAGGCACGCACAGCTAACACAAGCGTGTGTGTATGTGCGCATCCATCCGAGCGGGAATCGAATCGTACAACCCCTTCCATCGCGTGGTCTCTGTTTATACAGTCAATCCTTACATCTCACTCAGCCTCAATCGACAACTGGTACGCATCCGGGCTATCGTTTTTCATTTCTTAACTGGAAAACTGACTTGTTCGATCAGAGGTAGCCTGTTCGTCCACACTCAGTACTGGTGTGTCCACCGGAGAAAGTCTAATGAAGACTGGAAAACGGGCACCGCATGCACTGACCGTTGCCTGTCCGTGTACGCATCATATGTGTGCGTGTGTGCCTATGTCATCCAGACTGACGTTGCTTCTCAGCATCAGTGATACAGCTCGACAGTTTGCGGTCGACTATAAAGATGTCATCAGATCCGTCTTTACTTGATCCGTGTTTTACCTGTTTACCACGGGTGGGGTTTACGTGTGCTGTTGGTCTCTAGGACACGTCATAATCCCTTTTATTCGCGAGGTTATTCGTTTTGAAGCCTGATTTCGACGCAACGTTTACTGAGCGGGCTTTTATCTGTAGAAGCAAAAAGGCGATCAAAGAGTGTACACCTCCGGTACAGAAAGCTCACTCTATCATATCCATCGACTGGATATCTGGTTCATTTTTTGAGACCTACGGCCTGAGGATTACTGTTTATCGTCCCATTGTTTCCTTGAACTCATCAATTTTGACGGGGGAGCTCCTTTCTGTTCCGCCGTGTTCAGCTTGTCCAAGAAGTTGCTTGTTCCAGATGTCTCTTGTTTTTAGCTCAGGTGATAGATCAAACAAACAATCATATCGCATAATGTTTTCGCAGTGAGTTTATTACTGATAGTGCAGATAGTGTGATACCAAAAGAAGGCAACAATACGTGCAATCGGTTTTTACCCGGTTACGTTGCACTGCCGTCTCTCAGATACTAATGTGTTTGTTACACGTTGTCTGCTAACAAAGTAGCTCGGGT